TGAAGAATTTGCAAATTTATATTTAAAGTAATTAAATTTATTTTGTTTTTCAGGTTTTTTACTAAGTGAAAGAAACAGCCTTGAATTTGTTGTTTAAAATTATATAATTCCTAAATTATATAAAAATTACACAATATTATAATTTTCAATTTATTCTTTTTTATAAAAAAATAATTAATTTAAAGCTTTGCATTGAATAACCTACATAGAACCAGAAAAATTACTTTTTACTTTTAATTTTTAAATTATAAAAATTAATTTATTTATTTTATAATTAAATATTTTTTTAACTTAAATTAACGTTCTCATTATTATTTATTATTATTTAAAACATGTACATATTAAATTAATTTAATATAAAATTTTAATTTTATTTTATGATATTTCTAATTTATATTTAATTAAAAAAATATTTAATTATTTGTTTGCAATTGCATTTACGTATTATTTAATAAAATAAAATTTTTTAAATTATTTTTTAAGAATTAAAATATTATTTTATTTTTAATACAATTTGGTTAAATATTTTGTATTGATTTGGGGAAAATGGTTTAGAAAATGTGGGAAGCAATGTAAATACTAGAATAATAAACTACTGACATATTTGTGCTGCGCGACCTTGGGAGAAAAGGGAGGGAGGGATTATTTATTTAAAAGAAGATAGTAAGAAGCAGCAGAACATAGTTATAAATTCGTGTCAATAAAAAAATAATAAAACTTGTAAAAAAAAGAATTAAAAATTTTAAAATATCGACAGTAAATTATTCTCTTAAAATAATCCAAAAAAAATTTTTAATTGACAAAATTTATTTTAAAAAATAAAAAGAAATTTCAAAAATAAATTTAAATGTTTATGAGATTAACCCAATAAAGGTAACAGAATACCATAAACAGCATCCCCTCGTAGACTAAACGCCTTAGCCTTTGAACTGCCACATTTTGTGCACAATTGAGTTCGCACTAAATTTGATGTTGGGCCAATCCAAATATGCGATATTCGATCAATCGATTCATAACTGAATGAACAAGATGTCAACGAAGAAGGTTTTAACTGGAAAAATAAAATTAAAAAAAAATAAAATAATTTAAAAAATAATTAATTCCTAAAATAAATTTAACAAGTTAGACTAAAACTAAAAATTGGCAGTATCGGTTAATATAACCGGTTTGTGCCCCCCCCTCTCAACTCTCTTTTTTAACCTTAAGACATAAATCACATCGTAAAAGACATTTTCGAATTTCTTTACGTAAATCAGCTGGTAAACACTCCAAAATTTCTTGTCTCAACAATTGAGAACCATCATTTACCCAATAATTCCTAAAAATAAATTAAAATTTTTCTTTAATTTCTCACAAAAACCAATTATTAAGTAAAGCAGCAGAAGCCAAATCAACCAATTTTGGAACAAATAATTTATTTTTGTACATTAATTGTTCTTCAGAAAAAGCCAATAAATGATTATCCGTGACATCTATTTCATCCAATATTTGTCTATTTAAAAGTTGTACGGGTAAAAATTCAAGATAAGGCAAATAGCTTATTTGTAGTTTTGTTAAACGAGGTAATAAATAGAACTGAAATTAAAATAAAATATATAAAAAGTTTCTGAAAAGAATATAAAATTCAGCTTTAAGCCGGACTATAAAAATTTTCTTTTAATAAACTTTTCCGGAAACAGGGTGGCTAAAGGGGCTATAGCCTCCCCCCCCCCTAAGAAGGGGGAAAATGAAAAAATTTGCAAAGGAAATGATCAAAAACACCCAATTTCAGACCCCCTGAAATTCGACCCTGGCTACACCTTTGAAACATAATTTTTATCGATAAAAAGCAATAAAAATTTAAAAAAAATATAACCAACATCTTCCGGCAACTCTTTAAGCAGATTTTTACTCAAATTGAGATATTGAAGGTTTCTTAGGCGTGTAATATTATTTGAAAAATAAACAAGAGAACATTCCTTTAAACAAAAAGTAGATAAAGAAAGGGGAAGGGCATCAATAAAACAATCCTTTGAATTTACATTTTTTAAAGAAATTTTAAAAATAACCGGAATTATTTTCAACGGATTTTTAGACAAATCAAGTTCTTTTAATTGTTCCAAATTTGAAATTGAACAAAAACGGCGCCAATTTTTAAGTGTCCAATTTTTGCCTAAATTGTTGTCTACAAGTGAAAGAATTGATAATGAACGAAGACTAAACCTGAAAAAAAATTATTTTTTATATTTTTAGTTGCTGCAACTTTCCCAGGCGTCCCGGTAATCGATCGTTTAATCGAGTTTTTAAATTTACTCGAGCAAAATATTTTACACTTCTCATAATAAATATTTATAATAAAACTTTCCGGAAAGAAAATTATGCCTTTTCTTTCAAATTTACCGGACAGTGAAAGGGGATAATGAAAGGGGAAAGGCATCAATAAACAATCGAAAAGTTCCATTTCTATAAAATAATTCCTCCTTTTCTATTAATTATAGCAACTATAAACTTTTCCGGAAAGTTTCATTTATTTCCTTGAATAGGTTTCCGAAATAAAAAAAATTCCGGAAAAAACGAATGTTTCCTGAATAAGTTTCCGGAAAGTTCTATATTCTAAAAAAATAGTTTCCCTCTTTCTATTAATAAAATTTTCCGGAAAATTTTATTTTTGTATAATTCCCCTCTCTTCTACTTAACTATCTATTAATTATCAATAAACATTTCCAGAAAGTTATATTTTTATATAAGGTCTCTCACTTCTAACTAACCATCTAATATCCACATTTTGAAGTTTAATATTATTAATATAAAGTTGTTGCAAATTCTTTGGAAACCCAGCTCCATCATTCTTTGGGTAATCTTTTAATTTTAAAATACTCATTTTTGTTCGGAAACGATTTTCATCGACAAAGGAAGAGATTGATTGTTGTTTTGATGGAGAAATTGTTAAAGAATTTACATCAATATTTTCAATTTGAGAAAGAAATGAACGAAGTTTCTCATATTTTGCCTAGAAAAATTTTTTGAAAAAATTTAAAGAAAAACCATAGAAATATAAAGCATTAAATTATCTTCTTTAAATTGAATGGTTGCTTTTCCTTGTTTTATATGTGAACGCCAAATTGTTAAACAATTCTTTCCTAACTGAAAAATTAATTGAAAATATTTTTAAATTATTTTAGAATAAATTATTTTGATAATTTTAACTTATGAAGTGCCTGTCCAAAAGTTAAACAAAATTTTTTTAATTTTCTGGGAAATCATTTTTTATTTTAATTGTTTAAATGGAGGGGGGCACTTCATTTTAAATTATTCTAAAACAAAAAAATAGGGTAAGACAGACCATTCGAATTCTTTAAATATAATGAACCTCCCCTTACTTAAACAGTCAAATTAAAATAAAAAATGATTTCCCATAAAATTAAAAAAATTTTTGTTCCTCTTGGACAGGCACCCCAATTATTCTAAATCTTAATAAATTAAAAATAAAACCTCAATTTGCCTGTTATTACTAGAATTTTGCATTCTAATCCTCAAAAATCGTTTTTCTTCTTTTCCACCACAAGCATGACTACACAAAACCAAAACACCTTTTTAATTTAAAAAAATAACAAAAATTTTTAATTTAAATTAAAAAACCTCTAGTTTCTCGACAAAATAATTTTCCACTCAAATTTTCTAAACGCAAAGCACAATCCAGTGATGACATTTTCTAATTTAAAAAATTACTAAAACTGAAAGAATTTTGAAAATTAAAAAAAGTTCCAACGAAAAAAATTCTCACGGCAAAAAAAATTAAAACCCAAAAAAATATTCTTTCAGCAATCGGTTAGTGTTTTAGACTCACCTAAAATGATACCGGGTTCGGACCCTTTTAGTGGAACGACAGGAATATTCTTTCTTTTTTTTCCTCCCAAACTTTTTCTTTCTCCCACCCCTCTCCCCCCTCTGATTTTTTTAAATAAATTTAAAAAATTAACTAAAAAATAAATTTTTAATTAAAAATAATTAAATTAAAAAGCATCAACACAAAATTGGGTATATTTTATTTAATAATCAAATACGTACATTTTTTAAATCGAATTATTAATTGCAAAAAGAAAGTCAAATATAAAGAAAAATATTAAATACAAATTCAAATATTTTGTTATAGTGAATTTAAAAATACTTTTTTTCGATTATTGAAAAGAAAATGTGGTCAGAAATTTTTAAAAAGGCCTGTTTTCTTTTTTAATTATTTTAAAAAATATTTCCCCAACCTTTTTAAAAATTCCAGAATTATTTGTAATTCCAAAAAAGAAAACAAAATTATATTTAAAAATTAAGGTTTTAATGTAAAGAAACTGAGGTTTTCTAAAAAAATAAATATAGTCAAATCTCGATAAATCGTCATCAAGAAATATGTACACGTTAATTGTAGGAAGGGACGTATTTATCAAGACCCGAATGTGTGTATATATTTTCAATAAATTTAAAATAAAATTTACATTTAATAAGACAAAAATACAATCAAAATGAAGTTATAAAACAAAATGTCATCCTCTTAAAAGTTATAATCGAGCCATATTTAAGGAAAGATATGAGTAAAGAAACAAAAAAAAATTTTTTTAATTGTTAATTTAGTGGATATATAAGTATACAAAGAATTATATAAAAATTAATTCATTGGATGCAAAGGAATTTAGAAAATTCTGATAAGGCTTAAAAATAAAAACCTCAATCAAAATTGGCAAATTATTGTCTTTAATTATTAATGTGAGGGAAAGTTACAGGGTTCGACCCCTTTTCCGGCATTCACAATTATTTTTCACCCCAAAAATATCAAATAACTGCCCAATTATCTAAAACTAAACTCAATATTCTCAAAATTTTTAAATAGCATCCAATGATTTTTTAAATTTCCAAAAAATTTCTTTAAATAAATTCAATAAAGAGCAAATAAAATTTTTAAATCAATAACTATTATTTAAAACAAAACCTGCCTTTCAACAACAATCTTCACACAAATATATTTTCTCAATTTATGCAAACAATTCCCGCATTTGTCGTAAAGTCGATTTTAAATCTTCTCGGAATTTTTTGGAGCTCTATAAAATTTCTTTAATTAAAAAAAATTTTTAAAATTTCTCACAGTATTTTCAGCACTCTTCTTTGATGAAATGTGAAAAGAAATTTGGTCTTCCCCAGCAATTATATAAGAAACTCCATATCCAGTATCCGTAACTGGCCCAAAACCTCCTCCAGCACTAACCAATTTTAATTTATCTTTCATTTCAACAGTTGGGCATTCGACTTCACATTGATTGAGAGGGGTTTGTGAAGTGCTGAGTAAATATTGTGGAGGGAAAATCTGAAAATTAAAAGTTTGGGTAGAGAATTGGATTTCGTTTAAAAATCCTTTTAATTAAGAATGGGGTGGAAGATTCCAGTCCTTACCAAGGCTTAACCAGGAGTCGATTTCGTCGGGATCTATTTAATTTTTAAGGAGAGCCTATTTTTCCGCTAAAAATAGGTTCTGTTTACAATGTCCACGAGAATCTTTTTAAATAAACGCTACAGATTTTCCTAAACGTCAGGAAATCTTTATATCAACACATAACCCCTTATTTCTATTGAATTTAAAAAAACCTTATCAAAGAGAGGCGAACTCTCTTCCAAATAGCGCATAACCACATAAAGAGCAAACAAATGACGATCAATTCCCTAAAAATAATCGAATTAAAATTTGGATGTTAGAGATAAAAGACCCTTCCACACATTGCATCACGATAAAGTTGTTGATGTCGATCAGCGGCAACGCGCAGCAAACGTAGACGCTCTTCTCTCTTAAAAATATAATTTTTATGTCAAAAAATTTGATAATTGAACTCAAAGAATCTGGTGTCGAATTATTTTCATTAAATAAAATTCAAAATCCCTTCCCCAAATTTTAAATAAAAAAAATTACCGTTTGTTTTTCATCCAACATTGCCCGCACAAAATCACAAGACTCAACAGTACAAGAGCGAACTGTTTCAGTTCTTCCTTCACGATAAAGACGGGTCATTGACGCCTCATAAGTTAACGAAAATTTGTTTTGATTCTGAAAAACATCTTTTAATTTTCAAAAAAATTTCCTCAAAAAACCTTAAAATAAGTCAATTGCAAAGCCATTTGCATAAACGCATCAGGAGATATTTTCAATTTTTTAATAAATCCTTTCCCATATTCAGTCCAAACAAGTAAAGCCATTTCCACATCATCAATTAATTTCTGTGCCTCTTCCAAAGAAATTTTTATTTGTTCCAAACAATTTTTATCCAATGACCAATTTAGCCTTTCTGGATGCAAAATTGTTTGTGGTGTTCCTTTACAATTTCCATCCTCTGCATAGCCGTGAAGACACAAATCTTTGAGAACAACAAATTCCATAAAATGAGCCGTTACTGCTGCATCTCCTTGAAATAATGAGATTGGTAATGCATAGTCATCTCCACAAGGGAGGGGGAGACCCGAAAAAATCAAATAGAAAGCGAGTTGATTTCACCAAGATGAAATCAACCATTTGAAAAATCGGCCATCACAAGAAAGAGGCATGGCAAGTCCCATCCCTACTGTAAAACTCAAATATAAAAAATACCCCAAGAGTGTTCAGCATTAATTCCAATACGAGCATTTGGTGAAATAATTAAATTGAATGATTTGTCAAACCAACGATCATAACCTTTGCCATGCAAAAGGTTTTCTGCCCAACGATCAAGTTTGGATGTATCTTCCTAAAAAGATTTTAGCAATTAAATGAAGATAGGTAAAAGCTTGATCAAAGGTAATCAACAAAATAACTATAAAAATTAGAAGACCGAATAAAGACAAAATCACTAAAAAAATATTGGTTATTGAAATTCTTCAATTTATCAATCTCCCAATCCTAATAAAAATTCCATTTCAAAATAACATACAGGATCATAACAGACATATTCATCATCCAAAATAACAACAAAAGCAGCCCTTTCAATTGCTCGTAACGAAGTTTTGTTAATTCCACTAGAAAAGTGCTCACGCCTTACTCTCGCCCAATGATCACGCCGTCCAGCTGTGAGTGCCGCCAATTGTTGTTCACCTTCACAAGGGACTAAGGCACTGTCCAAAATTTCTTGGAAGGCTAATTGGAGTTCACAAGGCTCCAAAAGTCTAAGAGAATTTTTGTCAAAAAATTTTTAACTAAAAAAACAAACCGAACACCAGTGTGAACATTCAATTTAAACCAACATCCTTTGTGGTAAACAGCAACATGTTTTGAATCATCCCAAACGCGGAAATTGTCACAATCCTCTCCTGGGGTTCGGCAAGAATTGAAAAGACGAGTATATTGATTAGTACAGAAAGGCACTTTGCTGCGTGGGTTTATTGCAAACTATGAAAAAATATGGGGATTAAATTTAAATTTTTCAGACGAGAAGGCGAAGGAGAATTTTTAAAAGTAATTTCTCTCCAAATCAATTCCAAAAAATAAAATTTTACAAAATGACATTTCCTATTTAAAAAAAACTTTAAAAAAACCAACCGGAGAAACTTCCTGTCTGTCAATCATCCTACGGAACAATAATGCAGCCCAAGTAATATTTGCAGCTCTAGCAGCTTGTTTGTCAGTCGGAGTGGGATTTAGAGTATCAAACCCGTCTAAAATATCAAATCTTAAATTAAAAACATTACTTTCCAATTTCTTACAATAATTCGAATTGACCATAATGGGTGAGCGTTGTTTGTGGTAGACATACTTCTCCCACCAATCGGAAACCTTAAAAAATTAAAAGGTTAAAAGGTCTTAAAATTAAAAGGCTGAAAAAGTGCATTTCTGTTTAAGTGGAATAATCCTTATTGAAGCCCATGATCCGAGCCCTCTCAGGCCCATTATTTAACTTTTAATTCCGAAATCATAGACTCCAAAAAATACTAAAAACAAATCCCTAAAAATCCCAAAAATATTTTTATCAAAAAATACCCACATAATTGCTTGAAAGCAAAGACTTAATGAAGAGATAACGCTGAAGACGAGGACCCAATCCTTTTTGAAATTTTTCGGAAAGCATAGTAAGTTCATTAAATTCTTCATCAGACAAGATGGGGCGCATAGAACGGAGATGCTAAAAAAGATTGAGAAAAAATTTTTTAGAGAATTTTTCAAAAAAACCTTTTCAAGTGTACATTTTAAACTGGGAAGAGGCAAATGAGGCAAAGCTCCTTGAAATGAATGCATTATTGGCTTGCAAGCAGCAACAACATGCAAAGACTTGAACCAAATTTTGGTGCTTAGGGAAATTGCTTTTCCATCGTGGACAGACTCGTACCTTTAAAAATAATTTTTTCTAATTAACAAAAAAAATTTACATCCATCCACGATAGGAGAGGAACCACTTCAAACTGAGGCGGAAGGTTTGGACCAATGAAAACCTTAAAAAAAGGAAATTATTTAAAAAAAATAAAATTGACTGAAAATTTGTAGAAAAATAAAAAATATTCTTACAATGAACCTATCGAACTGTCCCCAAGAAGAACCGAGAATCTTTGTTTCTTCGGTTTTGAATATCCAAAGTTTTTCATGAATCGACGACCCTACCCATTATCAAACGAATCAAGAACTACCCGGAAGTAGGATTTCCGGTAATATTCAATTTCGTTCCCCCCTCCTTTTTTCCATCCTCAAAGTATTAAAAATGGTCAGTCTGACTAAGTTATAGAACTCGTCGAGCTGAGTCGAATGACACCAAAATCAAAAAAAATCCGTCTGATTTGACCGTACAGACCCCTGAAAATTGGACAACCATAGGGGTGATTTTTTAGAATAAAAATTTTTTATGCACATTATAGCTCATTCGAAAGAGCTCGTCGAGCTGAGTCGAATGACACCAAAATCAACGTAATCGGACGAGTTTTGACAAAGTTATGGTATTATTTAGACCTACCGGAGTCGGCAACCTTATGTCATAACTTTGTCAAAACTCGTCTGATTACGTTGATTTCGGTGTCATTCGACTCAGCTCGACGAGCTCTTTCGAATGAGCTATCATTCGTATACTTTTTCGTCTTTTTGGTTTTGGCGCCCCTATGGTTGTTCAATTTTCAGAGGTCTGTATTTCGGTCAAATCAAGTCCGATTTTTTTGATTTTGGTGTCATTCGACTCAGCTCGACGAGTTCTATAACTTAAGTCAGACTGACCATTTTTTTAATACTTTGAGGATGGAAAAAAGGAGGGGGGAACGAAATTGAATATTACCGGATTTCCTTCTCCCCATATTTCCCCTTATCCCCATTTTAAGAGTCTGACAAGCTTAAGTCTTAAACCATAAACTAAAATTCAAAAAAATTACCAAGAAATTGATCCAGACAGAACCGACGCTATAGTCCTCGAATAATTCCCATTCCTTCAAAAAAATAAATTTAAAAAATTTTCTCTCTCAGAAAAACTACCCAAACAAATAGTAGAGAACATATTTATCCAATAAACGTGTCAAATTAACTCCAGTAGCATCAATATCCCAAAGAAGATAACAAGAAGAAACAACGCCAACTACAAGGCCGAGAGAGTGAATATTGGCAGGGAATATTCCAGCAGTGAAATTGTTCTAAAAAATGATTTTCTTTGATTTAAAAATGATTCTTCGAATTTTAAAAATATTTTTAAGATTTTTCTAGGTTCTTGGCATCGATCCAAGCCTGGCACATGGCCAAAGAAAAATCTTTTAAGGAAAGGAGATAATGAAGGGCTACAAAAGGATATTTCTGAATATAATATTCTTAAGTCAAAGTTGACAATAATCCCCCAACCCCCTAGACACTCAGTCCGCCTTCCAAAATATTATCATTGTGGTGTAGTGGGTAAACGCTTTGTCTAGACAATAGGAGGGACCATGGTTCGACCCCCAATGCAAGTAAAACTCTTTTCACTTAATTTTGTACACAAAACAATATCAAAAATTAATTTTAAAAATCAAAAAAAAATTCAAAAATACCTTAAACCTCGCAAATCTTCTTTTATAAGAACGCGAAAATGTATGCCAAATATCTTTTAACAATTCCTGATCATAAGTAACAGAAATTCCATCGTGTGTTACAGAAACATTTAATGCTGCAATATTTCTAGCTTCTGCCATTTAATTGAATTAAAAAGAAATATTTTTTAAATGGTCTAAAAAAATTAAAAATTCAAGAAAGAGAATAGAGAATAAGGGGTTATTGGACACCATTTTTATATATTTATTTATTATTTACAATGTTTCTAATTTTAGTTTAACTAATTTAGTTAACTGATTACTTCCGTAGAAAATGATAAAAAAGAAAAAGGCAAAAATTAACGAAAATAGACAAAAATGATAATTAGGGGTAATTAGAGTCTGAGAAAGTTTTTTGAAAATTATATTTTGGGAGAACATTAAATAAATCAAAATATTCTCACATCAGAATCACAAGAAATTCGGAATCTTTTTTAGTCAAAACAACTTCTGACACTTAAAAGTTTGTCGGACTTCAATTTTGTCAACAATAAATTTTTGTTTAAACGGCTAATAGAAATTTTTATGACCGTTAAGAATTAAACAAAGTACGAGATATGGATAAAAGAAATCTCAGCTATCGAGGTTCCCAAATCGATCACTAAAATTCAGTCACTATTGGGTACTTAATACAAAACTAAAAACTTTTTATATTTGTCGCCTTCCAAAACAATGTTTTGGAAAACGTTGTTTTTCTCTCCCCAAAAATAAGCGTAACGTTCTAAATATTTTTTGAAGTTCTACTATTCCTTTTAAATAATTTCAAAAACCTTGAAAATGTTTACTTTTAAATTGTACATTAACCCCTTTTAAAACCAAAAATCCTCAACACAAATCAACACATTTAAAAATTTTTTTTCTTTTCTGGTTTGGCGAATGAGAAAAAAATTGTGAAGGAAAATAAACAGAAAATAAAAATATTTCAAGAGAAAATGAGAAGAAAAAAGAGCAATAAACAAATATAAATGTGTGTGTACTACTTGAAGGAATGAGAGAAAAAAAAGATTTTCATTTTCCTCTTCCCAAACTAAACACCCCCCCCCCCCATAACATTAAAAGCATTTTTGCTTCCCCTCTTTCCCCCATTCCGGGACGCACATACCACGTGTGTGTGTCGACGATGTGATTAGATGGATGTCATTGCTCGTTGTGTTTCCCCATACCGCTGACTGAGTAAACTATGGACTTTGTACCCTAGACATGAAGAAAAAATGGTTACCCGACACTTGCGGAACGACATTTGCGGATCGACAATTGCGGATTGAATTTTGCGGAACGACATAAGCGGACCCGACATTTGCGGACCGACAGAAGCGGATCGACTTTTGCGGACCGACAGATGCGGATTAACATTAGCGGACTCGACATTTGCGGACCTGATGATTTTTCAAGAAAATAAAAATCCTTTACTCTTGTAAAAGTTTCGATCTGAATATTGAGATTGCCTTGGGCTTGTGTCTTTGAAAATTTTCGAATTTGAACAAGAAAAAAGTTATATTCCCAAAATTGTAGCTTGATTAAACATTTTCACCGGCCAGACCCGGTACCCTGACATTTTCGACACGCAAACTTGATCCAAAGAAATATTTGTAAGTCGAGAAAATTTGAAAATCCTTTGCTTTTTTAAATCATTAACTGATCCGCAAATGTCGAGTCCGCAAATATTAATCCGCATCTGTCGGTCCGCAAATGTCGGTCCGCATATGTTAATCCGCAAATGACGGGCCCGCAAATGTCGATCCGCATATGTCGGTCCGCAACTGTCGATCCGCAAATGTCGTTCCGCAAGTGTCGGTACACCGAAAAAATTATTAAAGGGACACATAACGGGAAAAGAGATGTTTGAGTCTTGGAATTTTTAGGGAAAATGAGAGAACAAAGACCAGTTTTATCCAAAATTCAGGTTTAAAATTTAAGAAATAGGAGACTTATCGACTCTCCAGCATTGGGAGGACAGTTCACAGAATAACAGAGAATGTCATTTAGTTGAACTTTCCTGAAAACAAAAGGATTAACTCAAAAATAAAATTTTCTTTTTAGATTTCCACCTCTATACTTTAAGTAGTAATGGAACCCCCCCAGTCGGCAACAAACGCCCAAGTCGGCAACATAATGCCAAAACCCCAGACTCAAAATTCACATTATTTTTAGTCACTTAGCTTTTGGTCCATTCTCTTTTTGATTCTAAAGGTATAGGACCATATACCTTTAAAAATTGTACAGTATATTTTTGTATAATCTTAATGAGAGGGAGTAAGGGTATATAAAGAATGAAATTTCACATTTCATAATTCAAAAATGAAATATCCCAAAATTTTTCCCGAAGTTGAAATTAACATTAACCTAACCGGAATCATTGTTTCTAGTCCTAGGCTTTCGACGCCTCGATTCATACCCTTTGATATAACAGGCAAATGCCATGAGTGTAAGAGTACTGAAGTAGAATTAGATTTCGTGATAACAAAAGAGGGTGTAATAGTATATTGTACCCGTTTCAATGGAAGCCGTTTCGTCCCCTTTGATTCATTTTTCGATTTACCAGGACACTGTTTTTTCAAAATTAAAAATAAAGGTAGAGTATTCAATATCCCATATAATTCAACGTCTAAACCTTCTGTAAAAAAGGAATTAAAATGCCCACCTCAGCTAACCTCTGAAACACAGCTTAAAGGTCAACCCCTAGAAATAAGTAGCCAAACATCAATAATAAAAAATAATATTTTAAATTCAGATTCTACAACTAGTACTACATCTACAGAAGCTACTCCACAATCAATTACTCTTAAAATTCCCAAACAGGAGATAATTGAACCTTCATCACAACCTCTTGATTCCCATCCCTCACAAGAAAACATTGAAGAGTTTTTCCAAAGTTTAGAAGCATCAGTTACAGGGATCCCAACCTAAATGATATATAATCGATATATTCACACATTCGATAAAATTATTTTATAACAGTATTATGGACTCATTATCATTTACAGATAAAGATATAAAATTTAAATTACCTTTTGGTATGATAATATCTGGTCCTAGTTCCAGCGGTAAAACAACCTTTTTATTGAAATTTATAACCGAATCCAAAGAATTAATTCACCCTAGTCCAAAATCAATAGTTTATTGTTTTGGGGAAATGAATAGTATTATTCCCCTTTTACAGAAAGCAGGAGTTAATGTTATATCAGGAATACCAAATGAAGAACAGATAAAAAATTTTCCGAAACCACTTTTACTTATTCTTGATGATTTATTACTTAGTATAAATGAAAAATATCTGTCAGAATTATTCACTAAAAAAGCCCATCATCAAAATTTCTCAATAATTTTTATTACACAAAATTTATTTGAACGAAAGATCAAAGTGGCTAGGCAAAATTCTCAATATCTTACAATAATGCGTTCCCCTAACTCGATGCTCTCTGTAAGAAATATAGGTGTACAATTATTCCCGCGACAGTTAGACTATTTTCTTGATTCATATCAACAAGCAACTAAGCAACCCTATGGTTACTTACTCATTGATATGCACGCTTCGTCAGATCCATTATTAAGACTTAGGACAAACATATTTAAAGACGACGAAAAAATATTTTTTATACCAAAAAACGGAAATAATGGTTAATCAACTTTTACAAGATAATGTGGACTTTTTGAAAATATTAGCCCGAACAAAGTCAGGTAGAAAACAAAGAAGATTGTTAAGATTAGCAACAACATCCCAGCTTTTAGCATTAACTGAGATTTGTTTAAATATAGTAAAAGAAAGATTTAAACTTACAAATCGACAAAAGAAACGGCTGATACCTTATACAGAGTTTGTACGTCATTTGAGTCGAGTAAGGAGCGAAAGAGGTGCGCGTCATGTTCTTAATCAGAAGGGTGGAGGTGTAGGTGTTTTCGCAGCGCTTTTAACTCCTGTACTACTGGAAATTGCAAAGAGTATATATAAAAACGATAATTCCACGAATCAAACTATTTAAAAAATGGCAAATAAATTTATTTTAGTCCCTGAGGATTTATACAAAGGGCTTACAACACATGACAGTGGTGAACCTAATTTAGATTTTGTGCGTAGGGATCTTGAGAAGGTAAAACGAAAAAAACAGACTCCCAATGCAAAAAATGTTAATTATAATCAAGAATTGAGAAGGTATTTAAAAATGCGACATGAGCAACAAAATAGACCAGTTAAGGTAGAGATGGTAACAAGTTCAAAAGGTATTACAGCTAGACCCACTACCAGTCTAGCTAGTGAAAATGATGATTCTGATATGTTTATAGATGATAACCTTTCATCGATAATTAACGCCCCTGCATTTACTCAGGAGATTAAACCATCTACATCAACCCCCAAACAAGAAATAAGCCCAGAAGAAAAGAAGCACTTTGTACCAACAAAATCTCCTTCTTCTAGATGGGCACCAAGAAAACCATTAGCTAGAGATATTAATAAAAGAAAATCTAAACCTATAAATAGATTCAAACCAACTTTGTGGAAATAAATAATGGCAGATTATACAAAACTTTTACATGATTTATACAATAATCCAGAGTCCCCAGCGGCTTTTTCAGGTGTTGATAGACTTTGGAAGGAGGCTAGAAAAGTAATCAAACACATACCTAAAAACGTAGTACAAGATTATTTAGAAGGACATAGGACCTATACATTGATGCGCCCCAAACGGATTCATTTTAAAAGAGCAAAGACAATACCAGCTGGTTTTATGACAGATGTGCAGGTTGATCTTGCAGATTTTCAAGCAATCTCAAGACACAATCAGGGAAATAGATATTTACTTTTGGGAATTGATGTCTTATCGAAAAGAGTATTCGGTACTCCAGTCAAATCCAAGAGAACTGAAGAAATGATACAAGCATTTAAACAATTATTTGAACAAATGCCTATGAAACCTCATAGAATTTTTTCAGATAAAGGCACAGAATTTAAAAACAAACAAATGGCAGAATATTTTGAAAAAGAAGAAATACACAAAACTGAACCAGTACATTCTATTGTGAAAGCATCATTAGCAGAAAGGGCTATACGTAATATTAAACAGCGTATATATCGCTATTTTGCCCAAAACAAAATACTCAACTGGATTCAGGTTTTACCTAAAATTATAGAAGGAATAAATAAGTCTAAGAGTAGGATTCACGGAATGAGACCTATAGATGTGACTTTTGACAATGCACAAGAGGTGTGGGAGCGGATTTATGGTAACGATTATTCCAAAAAGAAAATAAAATCCAAACTAAAGAAAGGAGATTATGTCCGTATGAGTGTAGGAAAAGGATTATTCGAGAAGGGTTATATCCCAAATTGGGGTGATGAAATTTTACAAATAGAAAATGTTAAAAACCACGTTCAACCAATCCGTTACAAAGTACAAGACGATAAGGGCGAAAGATTCAAAGGATCATTTTATAAGGAAGAATTGGCTCGTGTTAAGAAGGATGCTGATACAGAGTATAGGATAGAGAAAGTTATAAGAAAAAGGAAAAGACCAGATGGCACATTCGATTTATTAGTAAAGTTTATAGGTTACCCTGAAAGAGAATGGATCCATGAGACCCAACTTGTATAAAAGCCAATTTATTTATTTATTTTTCATTTTGATAAAGATGTCAAATACATTTTTTGTTTTTCTTCCTAGTAATGTTTCCGATTACCCAGATAATAAACCAAATAAATTCCGAGTACATTTACCAAGACCACTATATTTTTCTGGAGACTGGGTATGTGGTTTGCATAGTATAAGTTACCCATATTCATGGCCTTCGACAATAGGTACGCTTGACGAACAATGGATTGACATTCATTTTACTAAAAATGATGGAAGGGCAAGTGTTATTCGTGTACCAGTTCCCAAAGGTTCACATACCACTGTGGAGGATTTACACCAATTCTTGTTATCTACCTTACAACATCAAATAGGAGCTATGGAAGGATCACCTTTGGAAAAACACGAGACTCTAGTAAAACCTCCAAGTGTTCGCAGACCAAAACGTAGTGTATCCCCTGAAGGAGAACTTAGAACACCATCTCCTTCATCATCAGCCGAAGAAGAACCCTCTAATAAAAGACTTTCTGTTGAAAGAGATAGAACACCTTCCCCTTCATCATCTGCAGAGAGGGAACTAAAGTCTCCGCCTCGTACTTCATCCCCTAAACTTACCAAAATAATCCCGACCCCTCAACCTCCAAAACCTACACCACAGCCTCCAAAGCCCTCATTAGAACACTCAAAACCTATTCCAGAAACTCAAAAACCTACACCA